GCAATATACATTATTATCTCCCCTGGATTGTGATATATTTCATACTGCCAGTCAGATTCTTGACAATACACAGTGCCCTTGTTATCCCCTTTGTCACGCAGTTTAACATATAAATCAGTTTGTCCACAACATACTCAGCTTCTCCTATTCCCTGAAATTGCTTCACATTTCTCACAGATTCTACACTCTAAATAAAAGTGGTTCTTCATAAGTTCTCTAAAGCACTTTGAGTGCCCTGGAGAACCTTTTTCAGTTGAAGAACCTTTTCCTTGCTGTTTAAGGTTCTTTTGAGAACTGATTCATTTTTTGAAGAGAGGTTGTCACATTTATACTTACTTTTAGTGCTTTGAAGAACCTTTTTATTGTTTGAAGATCTTATGCCTAATCTTAATAACTCCTGGCTTTGTGTAACAATGCGCACAGGGCCCTTTTAATAGAGGGTGATTTTTTGTAATTACATTTTTTAAAGAAGAGTCAAAGAAATTTAATAATGTGAATTAATAATGTGTGGCTATACTTCATTACTTTGATACTGATACTGTAGTTGTACTCGTTAAAAGTTAACCAATGCTAGGACCCGATACCAATGCAGTTGTATGTTCTAATTAAAACTACTTCCTATAATATATTTCTAAACACTGATAAAAGGGTTGTAACCTACACTCACTTTAAAAGTTTATGCCTTTGTTTTGTTTTGTGCATGTTTCAATAAAGTTTGTGTAGCCACCCCTCCCCCACCTCCTCACAAACGTCACCATCGGTAGGTGGCGGTAAAATCCAGAAGAAACGTCACCATTTTGGTCTGCTGCTGCCGTTGCTTCTTGTTCCTTCCCGCCCTGACACGGAGTTGAAGATCGACCGTCAAGGTAAATTCAGTAGATTACATTTATAAAAATTATTATCTTGTTGTGAACTGTTCACTAAAGTTAGCTGTACAGAATCGCGGCGCCGATTTCTTCATTTGAAATGGCGGAATTTTTGCTAAACTGATAACTACTTAGCCACTTTAGCTTGTTAGCGTTAGCTAACACTATTCCTTGTAGGTAAATGAAACTCGGGACTGTATATTATGCTGCTTTTGGGGTAACAGAAAGCTGCGTTAGTATTGTAAGTTAGTTAGTAAAGCAGTTAAATACTCCAACAGTTGTTTTTTTGTGCGCCACCTCCCTTATCAACTGGGGAATAGACTAGCTGCTCTGAGGCAAAAAAAAAAGATGCAGCCATCTTGAACAATGTGTGGTGTATTCCTGTTTAAATCGGCAGACTGTTGAAAGTAGGGCTAGATCACAGGTGCCCAATGCATGCCCTCGAGCCAAATTTAGCTCGCAGTCTATTTTTATTTGGCCCGCGAGATTAAATTAAAACAATGTATTAAAACAGGCCCGCCGGTCTAATCTGCCGCGAAGACTTCAAATCCCACAGTGCTTTGCGGTGTTTTCGCGCCAGTCGAAGCGCCCCCCTATTTTCTGTTTACAGTCGTTAGCTTCAGTGATAGTAGTATCGGCATTGGCGTTACCCTCCGCAGTCTCGAACAAACTGAAAACAGTGCTCTTAGCTCCGAGTTTACTCAGCGACTTGCCGACTTTGAAACCCACAAACTGAGACCCCAACTGCTTAGTAGTCCTTTCGCGGTTGACATGGGAAGCGAACAACTTCCAGGCGGGGCTGACTCCAGCGTATTGACACGCTCAGGTCAGAGCCTGACATTGTTGCTGTTGCAGCATGTATCTTTCCTCTAATCCTCTTTGACACAGCCCTAGCTGCTGAAATGTTCTCCATGTGCACCAGCACTTATATATGTGAGCAACTGTCCTCTCTGATAAAGCTCAATTTAGAGCCTAACCTTCTGATGCAGGCATCTGGCTGGAACAGGTGAGCATCAGATTGGAGCTTGAATTATTGTGGTTTTTATGCACTTTTTCTGCTCCAAAGCATGCAAGTTAATAGCTGAGACTTTTCATTTAAGAGAATTACTTTTTTCTTTTTGTTGGCATGTGAAAAAATATTGAATTCGGGGCTAACTTGGGGGGCTGTAGTGAGCTCGCGCATATTTGCCGCTTGCGCGCTGCGGAGCGGACAACGGGTTTCAACCTGGTTTCAACAGCAGAACCGACTAATCTAATTACGCTGGTACGACTCATCCCTCTAAATTACGCAAAAAGCTGCAGACACGTGAGTTTTGTAGCAAATATGCACGTGTGGTACCACTCATGTCTGACAAGGCGACTCAGCAGCGTGGTGAAGAAGTTTGATCCAATCTTTGTAGAAAAGGTGGAGGAAAAACAATTGTGCATAACCTATAGCAAATCGCCTCCTCCCTGCTCCTTCCCACATTCTGCCCAATGTTCTGCCGAGAATGGCATCCCCTCATTACTTGAAGTAGTAGTGGATGCATATTTCGGCAGTGAAACATTTCAAGCTGCCGAATTATGCATCCCCATCTTTTAAAGTGTTACCAGCTATGCTCAAACCACAGAATGTATATAAATAAATATATATATTTAAAAAAACAAAACACAGAAATACCATAGCAGATCATTGAAAAATACATCTGGGACACAGTAAAGATTCTATTAACAGTCACGTACAAATTGTTAGGATAAAACCTGGTATTTCTGTGTTTATTTTAAACACAATGTTACCCAAGCAGCAATTTTCATGTGTGTCCCAGAAGCGGCATGCCGCGCTGCTAAATTTAGGATCAAGTTCTATTTTTTTCCCGTGAGCCGCTTCTGGGACATGTCAATTTCCACAGTTCACGTAGTGCGAGACAGGAAACCACACATGGTTTCAGTGTAAAATCCTCAGTTATTTTCAAAATAAAATGCAACGTTGCGATGTTGTATATAACTTACGTCAGCCCGTGTGACCAAACGGCTTTGTTTACCACCAGTTTCTTTCGAGAAGTGCAATGGTGTGATTCTCTGCATGGACGACGAGGCAAGTCGCGGGGGTTGTGATCTCTCGATGAGGAAGGATGGCTTAAATCTCGAGGGATTTTAGAACTCGCGAGTACAGCAAGGTGCAGCGAGGAAGCCATGCCGCGGCCAAGACTCCCAGTGTGAAAAGGACTGCTTTAAAGTTCGTAAGTGAGCCGCTCCGCTGCTGATCCGTTCCGCTGATGCTTGCAGTGTGAAACCGGGGTAAGCGGCAAAAACGCATGCGCTCACTACAAGCTCGCTCACGAGTTGCGCTGTGCTCACACAGTAGAACTGCAACCTCTGTGCAAATCAATATTTGATACTCGAGCTAATTCAATTGTTGAAGTTATGTGTACTAGGGGTGTGCATTGGTGAAATTTTGGCGATATGATATGAATCACGATACGGGGAGACTATACGATATATCGTGATATATTGTGATACATTTTGCCATAAGATATTAGCGATTTCTTTAGACTGAATTTATTGCAGGGGTGGAAATTAACTACACAACCACCCGGCCAGCAGGGCCGGTAACTCAAAATAGTTAATGGCCCGGCTGAGAATCTACCGGCCCCGCAGGTCATCTGCTAAAAGGAGTAAAAATCACAACTGGGAAATAAAAATAAAATAAAATGAAAACTGAATAAAAAGGAAAGGTGAGGTGTTTTTTTTCAAACAGACATTTTAATAAAAATTTAAATCAACAAAAAAAGAAAATTATGAAAGAAGCAAAAGATGGCAATTAAAAAAATAAAAACAAAAAAATTTATAAAAATAAATGCAAAGATGACCTACTATACAAATCTCTTCGCAAATGGCTGCTTCCTTCAGGGCGCTGGAGTGATACAACAGATCAAATTTTTTACGGTTCAGATCACATCACGGTTTTTAGTCACGGATCAGATGGTTTTTGGATCAGCATAAAGAAAAAAAAACAAATAGCTTTACTCTCTCTTTTTATTACGTAGAAGTGCAACATTTTCTGCTCAATTTGAAACTTGCTATAAAAGCAGGAGTTACAGAGAAGTCCGATTGCTGTGCGTTTCTCCTTTAGATTGAACAGGTTACAGGTAGCGCATCCGCCCTCCACGTGACCGAACCGCGTGCGTGCCGAACTGTAGAGAGAGATTGCGGATCAATGATGATTTGTTGCACCCCTAGGGCGCGGCCACGATGTATCCCAAATGCGCGGACACAGGGGGAGGTAAACGATTGTGTGTAAATGACAAACAAAGCTTGGGTGCCACCCGAGCGGTAAGTTGTCAATTATTTACCGCCCGACAAGAAAATTTATCGCCATTGGCGCTCGGGCAGTTTTAAGTTTCCACCCCTGTATTGTATTCAATAAACAGTCCAAACTGATGCGTAACTAACTAGCTGAGCTAACCCACAAAGCTAGATGGAGCTCTGGGGCAGCCGACCCACACGGCTGCCTGGTTTCCATGCAAGTCTGTTGTGCTGGTTGCATATGCATCTAAAATTTACAGTTAAAATACAAGCAGACCCTCAGACCTCTGCGATCAGAGCCACGCTACAGTGTAATGATTTAAAGTATTAGTTTGATTTAAAAGCTTATCTGCAAGAGTCATTTGTCTAACATAATGAACATTGTAAAATTCTGTAATATTACACAACTTCAACACGGATGAGCTGTAGGCTAATGGTTTCTATCTCATTCTCTTACAGGGATGGCAGATTTGTGGTCTGTAAACTGTGTCTGCTCATGGCTGAAGGTCAATGGATTTGAAAACTTCACAACATCATTCATTGGTGAGCTTTGGGTATGAATGACCGAGGTATTCCAGTGCCAGAGATGTCCTGTTAGGACCCCAACTCACACAAAGTGGCTGAAACATCTACAGCTTTACCATGAAGATGAGAGTGATTTTTCAGTAGTCTGTGGACTTGATGGTTGTCCTCGTCAGTATTCAAGAGTCAAATCTTTAAAAAATCATATTCGCCGGCATCATCACAGTGATGTGAACTGTGTGTCATCTTTTCAAGAAGAATCAAGTCAGTTTTCTGAGGAGACAGAGCCAGATTCTACAGCTGAGGGTTCAGTATCAACAGTGGGTAACATTGTCAACCAGCTCACAGACTCCATTCAAAAACAGTTGGCTTTATTCTGTCTGAAGTTGCAAGAGAAGCATATTGTTCAGAGAGCAGTACAGTCAGCTGTGATCAATGAGTTGGAGTTAATATTTAGTCATTTTCATCAAACCTATCAGGCTCTTGTTGCCACTTGTTTAGAGAATGTAAACATAGATGTCAATAATCCACAACTTGCTTTGCTCAGAGAGCCATTTTTGGTTGAACATTGCTTCAGTGCAGTCAGTAGTGTGTACAGGCTCGACAAGTATTGTCTTGAAACACTGTCATTAATTGAGCCGAAAGAGTATATTCTTGGGTGTGATTCTCGTGGAAAACACACTTTCCAATATGTTCCATTACTTGATGTGCTTAACCTAGTTCTGAGGAATAGTGCATATCAGAAACAAATTTTTGATTGTTCTCAAAAAAAGTGTGATGCTTTAACCAACTTCAGTGATGGAAGTATTTTTCAAGAATCTCAATTCTTTAATTGTGGCCACCCGTGTTTAACTCTTCAGTTATACAATGATGAATTTGAGATAGTGAACCCCTTGGGATCTAAGAGAACCTTGCATAAAGTTTCAGCTTTTTATTTTTCTTTGGGAAATCTGAAACCCCAATTTAGATCAGCTTTGAAAAACATACACCTTCTAATTCTTGTAAAACATAGTATTTTAAAACAGTATGGTGTAGCAAAAGTTTTAGAACCACTTTTAAGTGATGTCTTAACATTACAATCTGAAGGTGTAAGAGTTTGTTACAAGGATCAAGAATATTTTGTCAGAGGGACCATTGCAACTGTATGCGCAGATAATTTGTCAGCTCATGCCCTTGCAGGATTTTCTTGCTGCTTCAACAGTGGTAGAGTGTGCAGGTATTGCTTATGTCATTACAAGGACATTGCAGCAAAAACACTTGAGGAGGACTGTGTTCTGCGTACACGTGAAGTTCATGAATATCATTTGAAATGTGTTGCAGATGACTCTACAGCCACTACAGTGTATGGTGTAAATGGACCCTGTGCTTTCAGTGTTCTTCCTCATTTTGAAGTCACAAAGGCATTTCCTCCTGATGTTATGCATGATGTTTTAGAGGGGGTTATACCACTTACACTTAAGCTGGTGATCAAGACACTACACAAGGACAAAGTTGTGACTGTTGCGGAACTCCGTAATCTCCTGCAGGACTTTAGCTTTGGACAAAATGATATCAGGAACAAGCCACCTCCTTTTTCAGAAAAAGTTTCTGCCAATGGACATATAATTGGCAAAGCTGTTGAAAAGTGGACACTGTTTCGCCTGTTGTCTTTTGTAATCGGAGATAAGGTTCCCACTACTAATAAGGACTGGCAATTGTATATGCTTCTGCGTGAGATAACCGAAATACTCCTAGCTCCAACAATTGCAAAAAGCTGGATTAGCTACTTAGGTTTTTTAGTTGCGCAATTCATTGCTACTTTTAAAGACCTGTATCCTGGTGCTCTCACTCCAAAGGTGCATTATCTGTTGCACTATCCTCGTCTCATACTGGAATTTGGACCACCACGGTCCAATTGGTGTATGAGATATGAGTCAAAACATTTGTACTTCAAAAAAGTGGCCCAGGTTATGAATAATTTCAAAAACGTGTGTTACTCACTGGCCAAAAGACATCAACTCAGACAATGCTGGGAGTGGAACACATCAACATCATTTCTAACAGACACTGTACCTTATGAAACTACCAAAGTCAGTTCAGAAGAATTGCCTGATTCTGTGCTGACCTACTTCAGAAACCTGGGACTAACTGAGGAAGACGAACTCTGGATGACAAAAGCTGTGACAGTGAACACTACAAGGTATTGCACTGGGGACTTTTTCATCATCGACCTGTTGGAAGGTGAACAAATACCATTGTTTGTGCAGGTCTGTAAGATACTGCATTTTCGGGCAAACTGGTTTCTGGTGGCAAAAAGCTTTGCAACTGTTGCATTTTCCAGCCATCTACATGCTTTTCATGTGGAAGAAACTGATGATACAGTCATACTGAAGCCTGGAGATGAAATTGACTTCCACCCACTTGACTGTTACCGCTGCGCAGGCAAAGACTATATTTCCCTCTTACATCGTCCATTCAAATCGCATGATTGAAGGTAATTTTACAGACTGGTACATCACACAGATATAAATTTACTGTAGGGACTGTTCTTTAGTTGCTCATCTCCTAACATTTTAACACCTGTGCTGTTTTTTTCTTTTATTTTTTTATTTTACTAACATTGGTATTAGGCTTGGGCAGTATCCAAATTTCAATACCGTCTATCTACCTCTACATTTTACCATGGTGTATGGTGTTACCGGGACTAATTTAAAATTTTCTGTTGGTCTTTCTCTTTTTATCTGTCTCAACCTGTCTTTTTGTACTTGTCTTTGTCTATTTTTTTTTCCCTAGAGAATGAAATTGATGGTGCAACACTGCTGGGATTATCGGAGCGGATGTGTGAACGGATATTTCCCAAAATAAATGACCAGGTGCGCTTTATGGCCATCCTCAGTACCCTGAAAGCGTAAGTTCAAATTCATTCTTTGACATTTTGTTTTTCCAAGAATAGGGAGTCTATTGGCGCTTACACATTAGTGTCGGCACAGTTGAGTATTGGGCCACACGGAACCGGAATTTGGTTTCACACATGGGTCAGATGTGCATTTTCTAGTCCAAGGCGAGTTTTTTTTTTTCAGCCCTCCTCCCCAGCGGTCAGACTGGGACCAAGGTAACGCTACGGACTGATTGGCTGAAATTACGCCTACCGCCTCCGATTAGCGAGTAGAATTAGCCAGCATGGGGTTACCGCATGTGCGATTCATTTTCATTCTGGATGCTGTTAAGTAAACTTCTCTGTCTGTAGCACATAGCTGCCGCTCAGTGGGAACGGGAAAAGCGAGAGAGAGCTGTGTATTTGCCTCTGCATCAGAGCTCTTGTCCCAGTAAAGCCGACAGACAGGTTTTAATTTTGAGATCCCTGCATATACCCTGAATAAGTGAAATTAGAAAATAGTTTTTAGCCCCATTGACTTGCATTAATTTTTTCGTTCTTCTGGGGGCACATGGTCCGGAAGCATACTGTTACACCCCTATACCTAACCAATCACGGAGAGTAACTGCTTAAAAAATGTTCTTTTTTTTCTTACACTAACAGAAAAGAAAAGAATATATCGCTACTGCATGATGAAGAACCAGATGTACCTGAAAATCCCACCGCAGGATGTTTTCAACTTCGGTTCCCTCAGTTCCTTGTCAGATCTTTGAACAACAAAGACCCAGACCTGAAGTCTCACCAGCGAAACAAATTGAAGAATGCACTCATACAGGCTCTCTATGATACACTGAGTGTTCAGACCATGTGAGTATTGGCCTGCATATTTTATTCGTTTTAAAACCAAATAGATAAATATTGAACATACTCCGTGGCGGCTGATGACTTTTTTGTCAGTGGGGCGCATTTTAACAGGTGCAAAAAAAAGCATGCCAGCTGAGATTAGCATGATCTGAAGGTGCATATGAATAAAGACATTTTTTAAAAAATAAATTACCTTTCTAATCCATGTTTCTCCTGAAAAACCTTTGGTTTTGACTAGGGCTGCAGCTATCGAATATTTTTGTAATCGAGTACTCTATCGAATCTTTTTTTCGATTAATCGAGTACTCTAATAAATTACCCTTTTGTGTTTGTAAACCATTATATCAAATAGCATGTTATAATTATGAAAGACTCTTAAAATGAGCAAGCAATTGCCAGTTATTCTTCAAGTTTTATTCAAAATTAAGTTTGCAAAACTTCAGCACTTCAACTTTACTTCACAGTAAACAAATGGCTGTGCAAAAAATAAGTAAACAACCTGAGCCGATTTTCCCCTCGTGTGACAATCTACTAGCCTGCAAGCCAGAGGATAACTGTTGAAGTAGCGCTGCGAGCGGCTGCGGCCCAAACAGAACCAGAACCGCTCACGGCGCATGCGCAAACAGCTCGCCGGCTGTTTCCCTATTAACACACGTCCGTTTTAATTTCTACACTTTTTTCTCACACAATAACAAGGATTGTCAAAAGCATGTTTGCTGTGGTTTTGTCAAATTATACTGATCACAAAACATTTATTTACTTTCTTTCGTTTTCCTCCGCCACTCATAAAGACCCGTGTCCTCCTGCAGAAACCCCGAGGGACAACAGACATCAATAACACAATAAAAAGTCCGACGTGTTGTGTAAAACTGCTATTTTTAGCACATTTTAAGTTCGACGTGTTGCTACCAGACGTACGGTGTGAGCTGAAACTGAGTGCTACAAACGAAAAAGTCGCACAGTGTCTGCAGAATATATAGAAATACAGGCTAAAAAGCATTATCTTGTAGAGGCTCCGAGTCCAGTTGCAGAAGTGACGTTTACAGGTGCTGCAGCACGGAGGATGTGGTGTTGTGGTAGGCTACATCCATTTTACAGTTTTTACACTGGGCTACGTTTTCCGCCTTACGACGTGAAAAATGGTCCCACACCTTTGACATTTTGTGTCTTTTTAGAACTTCACCGGGGTCCACGTTGTCTGCCATGGTTTAAGAGAAAGTTAAGTTACGTTCGCTACTCGCGTGTGCATTCAGTCCAGTGGACATGTGCGTCACTTATTTCGGTCCGGGTGAAACATGACCCCGGGCGATTGCAAAGCCATGAATTAATTAAATATGAATAAAACGAATCCTCGAGGCAGAGAATTTGACTCAAGGATTTTTTGTACTCGAATTATTCGAGGTACTCGAGGAATCGTTTCAGCCCTAGTTTTGACTAGAAATGTGATGAAATAATGATGGAATATTAACAGATCATGCAAATGTCAGCTGGCATGCTATTTTTGGCACCTATTAAAATGCGCCCCTCCAAAATAAAAGTTCACCAGCCGCCACTGCAATCCAACTGAATGCTTGAAGTACTATAGGCAGAGAAGTCAGGTGTGCACACTGTTGTGTAATGTAGGGTGTTCACAGTGAAAATTTAACCTCACGGTTATTGTGACCAAAATTGTCATGGTTTTCGGTATTGCGGTATTTTTTTAAACGTGCTACATTTTCAGACAGCTAAATAAACCCTGTATGTCAGGAAAATATTGTCCTCAGTTTGTGTCTAAATTTTGCCTAAAATGTGTTATTTTGTAATTATGTTGTTTATTTGTTTACATTTTTCCCTTTAGTCTTTAAAATACCAATATTTGCCCATAACTTCTTATTTTTTGTCTGTTTGATGTCATTTTAAAAATATTAGATCAGATGATACTCAGTACTCAAGTAGCCTTCTAATCAGATACTTTTTTACCCTTACTTGAGTAATAAACCCTATATCAGGAAAATATCGTCCTCGGTTTGTGTCCTTCCAGTGAGCTTTGCAGATGTGGGAAAATGTCATCAGGCAGTAATCATTGTTAAATTCATAATTATTCTCGGAGAGAGACCAACTCTTATCTGCCCCTGGGAGCCCCGTAATGCATAGTGTCATTTCAACATGGGGGTGTCTGCGACACGGTTTATATGCAGGTAGCGGCGCTGCGGCTGCTTTATATAGCGACTCATTGCATTCTCCCTCAACCCAAATCCTCGGATCACGCATTTTAGCTAAAACGCTAACGTTAGCTTGCCTTGCGTTGACTGTAGAGTTGTGGGTGATGGTCATGCAGAAGCGTTGCTGCCTGTCAGACACTTTTTCTGCACGTGCTGCAAACAGGATAGCCGTCTTCTATCAACTGTCCCTCGGCATTCTTCAAATATCCAAAAAATGTCCATACTTCCGACTTTGTCTTCTTTGAGGGATGGTAAATGTCCTGAGCCCTGCCGTCTCCTCCTTTGACCATTATTTCAGCTTGTAAGAAGCTAGCTTCAAGAAAGTTTTGGCTGAAATAACAAAGTGCGCATGTGCCGCCAGCAAATGATACGGTGGCTGGTAAGGGTCACCGCGCCTACACCACAGCCACAGTAATCCACCGAGATAATATATATAGTTTTTGAAAACAAGACGGTTATTATTATTGTCAGCTTTTTTTTTACCAGGGTTTACCGCTACACCAGTTACTGTGACAACCCTAGTGTGATGTAGCACTAGCTTAGTATGACCACCAAACAACCCAGAAAATGTATTTGTAATCTTTTTTCAAATTGCTGCTTCCAGGTATCCAACACATACCCAGTATGTGGATTTGATGCGAACGCTTCTCATGCAGTATCCATTTTTGCGTGAGAAATATGGATCAGGATATGTAAGTTTTCTTTGTCTATTCGTGTGTTTAATGCAATGTGGAAAATGCTGTTTTTGTCATTTCCACTTAGTGCAGGGGTGTCGAACTCATTTTAGCTCAGGGGCCACATTGAGGGAAATCTAGTCCCAAGTGGGCCGGACCGGTAAATTAAAAACAACTTCAGATTGTTTCCTTTGTTTTAATACAATCAATATAAAACAAAGCTGGAGCCTGCGGACAGTGTATCCAAAATAGTACAAGTACAAGTACCTGAAGTGTACTTGAAAATTTGAAGGAAAAAAAAATTAATTAATTAAAAAAAACATTCCTTAGTGATTCAGAGCTTACAGATCACATGGCTAGATCAGTTTCATGCAGCACTTAAAGTATATTTGACTCATTTTACTTTAAATCTTTTAGCTTTCACCAGCACATCAATACCAGAAGTCACATCCTGAGTGGCGGCCAACTTCAGGATGTGATTCAAGATCTTGTGTGAGCCTTGGGTGCAGCTTTGTTTTATTTATACTCGTTACAGAGGAAACTTGCTCACAAAGATAAGTTTATTTTCACTCTACATTGTAAAGTATGAAAATAAAGTTTACATAACCATCTCGCGGGCCGAATTTAACTCATTTGCGAGCCGGATCCGGCCCGCGGGCCGCATGTTTGACACCCCTGACTTAGTGGTTAATGTCAGTCTTTTTATTATCACATTTCTGTCTGCATTTGGTCAGGATGCCCTGTTGGAGTCCCTGCGCAACAAATTCAAAAAGGAAAGAATTCCCCTGATCAGCAACAGTGAAGTAGCAAAAATGAGGAAGAAATTCTCATTACCAAATGGTGGAAGGAAGCTAAGAGCAGAGTCAGAGGGCAGTGACCCTTCTGTGAAAAAAATCAGGGCTGTAAGTCAGTTAGATTTATATAAGAGTTTTTGAGCATAGGCTTATGAAAAAAAAATTAAACGCCTAAGTGGATTTGGGACATTTTCAATTAAGCTAAACACTAAATTTTGCTGTATAAAATTTAGATTTTTCTTGTCGTTGATTTAGACCTTGGAGATGCACGATGGAGAAGCTGATGGAGAAGATGAGCACAGCATTCAACACCATAAAGAAGCAATGAAAAAAGAAGCTCTGAAACAGACGCCCAACTATGACCTCATAATTAATGGAATGGTTAAGACGCAAAAATACAGGGCAAACTTTATTCAGGAACACTCGACAGCTGCAGTCCTGGAGGAGTTCCCTTATCTACGCCATCCATTCTTGGTAAGGTCAATGCATACATGCTCAATTGTGAGCCATACCCATCCTTATAAAACACAAGTTTTACGTATGTCAACAAATGCACTAAACATAGTTTTGTAAATAAATGGCTATATTTTGTGTGTTTCTAACAACATATTTTGGTTCAACAGAAAAATATTGGCTTATTAGGGTAAACACGTCCTCATAGCTGGAGTTCCTTTTAAATTCTTGGTATCAATATCTTCTTCGTACTGTGTGTGTGTTTTAGATTCTAGAGGAAGTGAAGCTCATCAGCAAAGTGGACGTGGAGAAACGCATAGTCACCAACTTTGCCAAGATGTCCCAAAAAATTGTTGACAAGGCTCCTAAAAGTGCCCTCAAGGACAAGTGTTTGGCTGGGCTTGATGCCTCAGAGACAGAGGAGGAAAGAAGAGGTATGTTGTGCCTTTAACAACTTTACAGTTTAATAAATTGTTATGCATTTTACTTTACCATGCTCAATTACATGTTATTTGAGGCACTTATATTTTTCTTTACAATTCTTCTGTATATTTTTTTAAGGTCAGATTGTCAACACTGCAGTGCTTCTACTACCTTCTGTCTTCAAAGAGGACCCACAGCAGCTATTTGTCATTGACAAGGTAAATATGACTTGCACTTGAACTCAGGCTTGCAACATCAGGACTTGAACTTGGACATGGACTCAGACTCCAACATGTGAAATTTCTATTGTTTGAATTAGGGCTGGACAATATAGGAAAAAAAAGCATATTGATAAAATTCATATTGATCCATATTAATAATTATTAAAAAATAGATATTTAAATAAAACTATAGAATTTATATTTTAAGTGCGGCCCTGGCCATTTTATGCTATTTGCTCATTAACTACTTTCAGTAAAGAACAGACAAAACCTGACTTAAATATATTATTCAAATATCTTTATTTTACTAGAACTAAACTATTTCAGGAAAATATTAAGTTGTGTTTATGTTTCTAGCACAAATTAAGATTTCTGTTGAATTTGTGATTTTAGTTTTCTAATCAAGGTTTAGCTGCAGCAGATTAGTCACAATTATAGTGAAATGTACAAACATACCATCCTGCTTTCACCAGGGCTGCCAGCTCGAACACAATGAGCATGAGACACATGCATCTGACCTTGTACACATGCTCTCACGCTACATCTCCAATACCTCCCGCTCTTGCGGACAAAGACTAAAGAGACTGCGCGCACCCCTCGACTCCCCCCTTTAACAAATGGTCAGGATTGACACACTTTGTTTTCATTTAGTTTTTAACCCTTTAACACCGATGCGTCACCATGCAGGATCACCGGTGACGCCTCGGCGCATGTGATTTCAAATAACTCCTCGCTACTTAAACTATAAAATTCTTAAAAAAAAATAAAGGAGAGGCCGTTTCATATTCTATTCAACTCTAATCAGGCAGTGATCGAGGTCGCTTTTGTAAGAGAGACCTGAGTGAGAAATATTAACACAATCGGAGAAACACCTCCAAATGTCTGACTTGCCTTGCTTTGGTTTTTGTGTCATAAAGACCTTGTTTCAGCTTCTTTTCAACATCAGTTGCCGACTCCATACTCATCCCGATCCTGCACTGTTTCTTTTAGCCGACCGTTCCCGCCCGCAGCAAAATTCACACCGCCCGCCCTCGCAAGATTTGTGTTGGGTTCCGTGGGACCCATTCCCGATGCAGCCCTCTACTATGAAGTTTCGCTAGCTATGCTACACCATGGATTTCACACTTCACCATGGATGCCCTATCCTGGCAGCAGCCAGCCAGTGCCAGCTGGGCATTACCTTGCACGTCCTCGATCAATTCAAAATATTCTCTACCTGAGAGCCCTCCCTATTTCAAACAGATTCTGCTGCAACCATTCCAGATCTCTGTGTAGACTCAACACGGGGCGGGGCTACTCAGATCTGGCTGCTGCCAGGTTAAAATATTTTCAACTTTGCTTAATTGGTCATTTTGTCTGACAAAGGGAGTCTTAAGAAATAGTCTTAGGGTCAGCAGTAGCTCAACAGGTTGAGCGGGTTGTCCAGTAATCGGAAGGTTGCAGGTTCGATCCCGGCTCCGGACAGAGAATTCTGCTGTTGTGTCCTTGGGCAAGACACTTAACCCACCTTGCCTGCTGGTGGTGGTCGGAGGGACCGGTGGCGCCTGTGCTCGGCAGCCTCGCCTCTGTCAGTGCGCCCCAGGGCAGCTGTGGCTACATCGTAGCTCATCACCATCAGTGTGTGAATGGATGAATGATACACTGTAGTGTAAAGCGCTTTGGAGTCCTTACTCTGAGAGGTGCTGTGCAAGTGCGGGTCATTATTTAAGGGCTTTTCTATGATTGCATTTTACAGGATCCAGTGTTTCCAACACCAACTGTTGTCCTGACAGGCTGCAGGGACGAAAACCCACTGCAGAGTGAGGCCATCACTGTGAAGATGGATAATGAAGAGATACTCCTTGATGATGGCAGTGTGGACATCTCCCTTGCCCTGGCTGTTACTTTTTGTCTTTACCACATCTTCCAAGTTCAGTATCCCAAAAACTTGAGAAAGACTGTTTCCTTTCTGGAAACTTTTGTTTTCGAAATGAAGGGTTCTGTTCCAATTGCTGTGCAAAGGTTTTATAATTCACTGTGAAAAGCAAGCCTGGCACTGTCTGTTATGGTTTTCCGTTTGTTCTGTCAATGTGATTTTGCAAATGTGTTCAACTCGAGTTGCTCTTTACCGTCACTATTTTTCCAGCATTATAAAAAAAAAAAATTCAGCACTTTATAATACCTTTTTGCCTTGCATAGGATTATATTATGTCTGCTTGTTTACACTGTTTGTTCGCAGTGCATGGCCCATGAAGTGACTTACATCACAAGACATTTAAGATGGCGCCTGTAAACTTGCGTGACAGAGCTTTCTTGCTTGAGAAGTTACTACTTTCCTGAAGCAAATAAATTGGCTGCATATTGGAACCTTGCAGTATGAGTTCTTTTTTTGACTTTCACCTGCTTAAGATTTTTGGTACAGATGTGGGTAGGGACTTTCTTTGAGAATGTCAATTTTATACATTTTTATGAAAAAATTAGATCGTTGTACCTTTTTTAATGGCACAGTTAAGCGATTTGCATTCAATTGTTTGCTTTGAAGGACATGTTATATGATCAGTTTTTGTTCTGGTGTTTAATTTTGTGGAAATAATTTTTTCAAGAAATGTAGAAACAAGAAACTTCCCTTTATAACCTCTAAAACAAAGTTTTGTCTGGGTGTAAATGAAAACATTTGACAGGAATGAAACAGTGATTTAATGTAATTGGGTCCAAAATTTCCTTTTTGGTTTAATTACTGCACTTAAATTGATAATTTCTGATTAAAACACCCAAAAAAACTTTTTCTGAAGCACCCAAATGAATTAGTTCTTCAGAGAACCCCTTGATAAATGGTTATTTAAGGAACCCTAAAAGGTTCTGATTTTAAGGTTCCACAGAGAATCTAATTATGTTCTTTAAAGAACTTTTTTCGGTTCTCTGAAGCACCCAATTGAATTAGTTCTTCATAGAACCTTTTGATAAATGGTTATTTGTGGAACCCTTTTAGGGTTCCACAAATAACCATATGTGAGGTTCCACAGAGAACCAAATAAAAGTTCCTCAAAGAACCCATTTATAAATGGTTCTTTAAAGAACCAATAGGCAAAAGGTTTCTTGGAGAACCGAAGAAGGTTCCCCTATGGCATCACTGTGAAGAACCGTCTTTGGTTCTAACTGGAACCTTTATTTTTAAGAGTGTACCTCAAATCTTTATGATTCACACACACATTCACACGCTGGTGGTGATGAGCATTGTAGTGTAATGAATAAAAAGGGTCAATTTCCACCATCGAATTGACACAGCATAACGTTTCATGCACTCTGGAACTGCTGGGTCAGGGTTGAGCCAGCTGGAGGATCCAGATGCAAAAATCAACCTTTTTCTCACTCGTTCTTCTTCAACGCAGACAAAAAAAAAATAATAACAAAAAAAAAAAAACTGTCAAGGCCTTACCAGATGCAAAAGCTTCTTCTCACGTTGCTTAAAGTCAGACTGCTGGATTAGTCTCTCTGAATGAAAAGTGAACTTTTACAACTCATAAGTTAAATAATAATATGTGATGAATGAATAAGATGTTTAAATCAAATGTTTGAATAATCTGCGCTTAAATCAATGAATTTGAAATCAATGTTGTTCTTACCATGATCCATTTATATCCCAAATCGGTATGTGTGTGATTTGACAAGTTAATCATTATCTACACTCATACACATCTTCATAAGATACAAATTAAGGTTAAGGTTCATCTCACATAACATTTGAAGATTCTTTATTCACAGAATTAAGAAGCTTGTATCTGAAGGAAGGCGTGGCTTTCAGAGGAATGTTTTGGGAAAGTCTTCCAGACATGGCACATTCTGATTTGCCAGAATGGCCGAAAATCATAATATTGTGGTTAATTAAAACAGGATTTACTTTACAGCTGAACCCCGATTCGGCCAAATCGGGAAAGAAGCCTCGTTTGAGACATCTCTTTTGACATACAGTCGAAACCTGTTTGCACGAGGCAAGCTGACAGCCAGACGGCTCCTTTAGAGCCATATTCACTTTGGACGCAGACAAGCATTCCAGCTACTGTTGTGACCTGGAAACATCTCAAGACTGGACGGGTCGTATCGGAGTTTAATCTATGAAATCCCGGTTCTGTGAGGTCCACCCGACTTCTGACAGCCCGGATCTGCTGGGGGTCTCCGCCAGGGTTTGTAGACACAACAGATTGCATCTGATGCTGTTTTATTAATAATCAACTCTCTAGTTTATAGCAGACAGCAAATTCTTTTACACCCAGATTTCACAATTTCTTTCAGAAACAAAGTTCCTGATAAACATCTAACTTACATCACACCACCTACACATCACATTCCATCACCGCATGTCCACTCCATCACATCTCATTATTCATATCTTGCCATGTATTATAATTGGTTTAGAAAAGAATAAAATTCCTTTTTAACTATATACCTGACTGCCTGAATTAATACGAAGTATGTTTATGATCCCTGAACAAGCAAAGAACCCTAGACTCTTCTGATTAAACTTCAAAGATGAATCAGATTGATATTTCATATTTATATGGAATAATCTCATCTTATTGGTCATAATTAATTTGCAGTCGTCACGCTACAAAGTGTGACCGCTACAGTAGCTACAGCTGCCCTGGGGCATCACAGAGGTGAAGCGCTTTCTGATCACCTTCAGCAGATAAGGAGGGTAAAGTGTCTTGCTCAAGGACACAACTGCAGAATTCTCTGTAGTGAGCTGGGATCGATCCTACAACCCCCCGATTACTGGACATCCTGCTCCATCTCCTGAGCTAATATTTATCAGCAGAAACATAATACTGCTGTGTTTTTAGTACATACAAAACTGAGTGGAACTCACAAGCCGAGTGCTATTCAGAGCGTTTTATGTTTAGGGTCATTACTAAAGGCTACACGTATAAAAGCCCTTTGTCCATGAAAAAAACATGCCGATGTATTAACTACCTGTGCAAGTCTGTAAGTAAAAGTCTGTCCTTGCACGAAAGCATTTCTGAAGGAAAGAACCAGAATGGTGCTGGCAAGCAGAAAGGCTAACCTGCTCTGGAAGCACAAATGTGGCCTTGCACAGCCAGGGCTGCTCAGAGAAGTGAGCGAGCAACTTATGGGAGAATTTAGATTCAGGGACAGTGACTCAGACCTTCCTTCATTTGATTGGTCAGTATTGTTAAATATCATTTCTAATAGCTCAATAGGCACAAGTTTTAACTAACAACAGGAAATTAAGTCAAGGAGCTGTTGATCAATTCAAACAGGAAGCGTCATTATGATTGTGACAATGATATACTTGTCCTGCTGTTGCTATTGGTAATATTATTGAGTCTTTATCATCACCAGTGACTGAGCCTGTTGAACCAGAGTATGGAGATTACTTTATAAAAGGAGAAGAGAAGACACATCAGACAGTCTCCAAAATCTCAACTAGATAACAGACTGACTGATGAGCAGTTGTCAGTGCAAAGGGAGGGGTGGACGTGTTTCTGACAGCTCAATACTTGCCAAACCCTGTAAATATGCTTATTATAAGGATTACTTCCTGTTTGTAACCTCTAATTTGTGCACATTTATCAAGCGCGTAAGCCAGATTTTACACAATGTGCTTTTGAGACAAACTGTCAAAACTTCTGCATCTAGATACAACACCAGTACTCTCTCAGTGTACAGCAGCCAAGAACAGACACAGTGCAGCCTTTACTGTAGCTTTGTAGGTGTGTAGTACACTCTCAGATAATGAAACCAGGAGATCATTAAAAAAAACTGCACCTGTAAGCAGTGACTTTCTTATAGTAGGTCTTCAGCCAGCTCGGGTTAAACGGTGCACATACTGCTACAACATCAAATCAAAGTCCTGTGAAAGTTCCACAATGTGAATTAAACTAGTCTCAGCCAAGCTATCAAGTACAGAACTTTCCTAACTAAGTGAAAATGGCAGCAACTTAGCCTACTTGCAATGTAAGTAGGTCAAGTTGCTCCGAATGAAGAACAACTACTGGCTCTAGACTACTGGAATGTCATCAGCTAGTCCAAACGTTGGTCTAAGTAAGACTGATCTAGTGACCAACCTGCTTCTTTAACACCAATAAATCCCGACTGTAGGACTGCTGGGACAAAAGAGGTCAAACATCAACCAAAGAAGTGGTGCACGGATCCATTCTTGCAACCTCTGTCTTAAGTGAGAGGATCTTTTCAGCAGGAGGAGCTTTAATGAAACAGTGGAACGTTTTTCATTTTGCAAAAATCAGATTCAAACACTTTAAGTCTGGGTTTTCCAGATTCACCAGAACCTTCCATTAGTGGTAATATACAAATACTTGTGTAGATTTTTGCTAAAAACTATTCTTTCACTTCCTTTCTCATACATGTTAATTATTTTGTCTTTAATAAATATTCAAGCCCTAGAAAACACCTTATTAGTGCGGTACGTTAGACTGTGATGATGGAGTAATGTTTGAGGTGGCGTGCCGGGGGGTTTGATTCTAAGATATACTTTGCGTCAGCACTGATGTGTACTTTCTGAGCATGAGTGGAGCCTTCCACCGTTTGGTGCTTCACCAACCTTCACTCTAATTGGGCTCCAGAGGGGCAGCTGTCTGGTAGGAGACCACTCAGCTAATCATGCTGATGACCTTTCTCCTCCCTCCACCTCAAACGCTTTGAGAGGCCACTTTGACCTGCTCATCTTTCCTACATCTACCGTTCACTAATCAGCAAATTTGCTCAGGATGAATAACTAAACTGATGCGACCACCTACTTCTTGATGGTCTGTTTTTCTTCTCTCCTTCAGGTCCAACAACATCCACATTCAACTGGGTATACCTTCGTTCTCCATTTTCACTTTCCCTGCTCTGTTCCCATAGCACCAAGGACTGCGTTAAAGGCCTTTTAGCTGTGTGTTCATTTTTTCAATGAGCATGATGTGAGTGCATTTTCTAAATGTTCTTTTCACTTTTCATGCTGAAATCAACACGGCAATCGACTCATCTTTTTCCTTGACAGAACAACCTTTTGTTTCTCTCCTACCTCTGGTCTCCCTCCTCTTCTGAGACAGTCTGGCTGACAAGACCAAAGAGGTCACTCAAAACAACCTCACAAACCTTTGTAGATAAGTTTTGATATCTCAAAAAATTAAACTGTGGAATTACTATTATTATTAATTACAAGTTTAACTAATAAAAACTAATCATTGAGGGAAATATGAACTCAATAAAATACTGATGGTGGAATTTCACTGGTCTCGTAAACTTGAGATGATTGATATTTTTATGGTGTTGTTCTTCCATTTTACAGTTTTCACTTTACAACTGACATAATGTCTGGTTAAAGAGATGCTGTGTCTTTACAAACACCTAGGGCTGAAGCTAATCAATATTTTAGTTTTCAAGCATTCTATTGAATCCTCTGTTGGTTAATTGGATATTCTATTTGACAATAGGCTTGGGCGGTATCCAAATTTGAATACTGTCTAACTTCCACTTAATTTTACCCCGGTATACGGTATTACCGTGAATACTTATAAAGTATGACGTAAGCCTCAAGTGGACCTTCACCTTTCTGAATCCGAATACCAAACAATTACTAAAAAAATAACAACGCAACTCACATACTATTAACAACATTTATTAACACAAAACACGCAGCTTATAAAAGAGTGCAAAGAGTCAACAGTCCAACAGCAATAAATCAACATAAAAACCCAGGACAGCTGTTGTGCGCAAATCAAGTGAACAACTTATCAACGAGCAGCATGAAACTGTGCAAATAGGCCGTAACAGTCAACAAGAGTTGAATAACCATAAACATTGAAATTATAAAAATTATTGCAACCAAAACAACTGCATTAAAATTATAAAAAGAAAACTCCGTCACACGGCCACACGCGTGTGCACGCGCGCGCACACACACACACACACACACACACACACA